AAACTCTGCAAATTCAGATAAGAATTCAGAATACGGGCCAGGTGCTCGGTACACTATAACAAAAAGAATTGGTTGCAGTGATTTCCAACTTGGGTGCGAAAGACTAAGAACAAGACTTTCAAATGAGTTATAGTTTGGTTTAGGTTGCACGGTCGTGCTCGGGCCCTAATAATAGCTAAAAAGTGGAAAGTGTAACATTAATGAAAGGGTTAATTTGGTAAAACAGTACAAGAAAAAGGCCACTAGATGGCAGTAGAGGATAAGAAATCCACCAAAGGGGAGGAGTGGTCAGCGAACACCATAGGTGGAGTTAAGGTGTAACGCCCACCTAGAAGGAGGAGATAAGGAGGAGTTAAGATGTAACGCCCACCTAAAAGGAGGGACAAGGTGGAGCCTAAGGTGAATATAAGGCGATGTTCGCTGACCACCAACTCGGTTCCATCCTGAGACCTGCAGGGATGTTGCTCGGGTTTATCTGTCCTTTATTGGAATAAACTCTTTTGCACCGACTCTTGACCGTCTCCAGTGAAGTTTTTGACTACGCCGTTTTTTGACTAAAGAAGAAATCTAATAGAGTAATTTTATTGAGTTTATTACGTTGGTTAGGGTAGGGACCAGGTCTTTTTAAAAGTAATTTGTTTTGTTAACCTTTTTATTTTTTATCATTTTAACTGTGATTTTAGTTTAGTTGTTTTATATCCGGGATGAATTTGATAACCGATTAAACATGTTAACAGTATTACATAACTTATATGTCTTTGGTTTTGTTGTAACACTAATAAATAACTTTTGGAAGGAGGGTCAGTAAAAGCTGTCTTCGGGTCAGTAAGTTTCAAACTCACTTAACTTTGAGCTCTGAAATGGACACATGTCTCTCCAAATCCTGTGGGAAACACTGAGTAAGAAGCACATTTTGACTATTTATGCAATGGTAAAAATGGCAAATATGTGAATGCACTTCTTCGGTATTCGGCAAATTTTTTCATTACATTCGGCTTCGGCTAAGAATTTTCATTTCAGTGCATCCCTTTTTACATAGGTTTTGGCTTTGCTACTGCATTTCATTATTTATACCAGTGATTCTTGAGATCTGGGACAAAACATGTCCACCAGATAAAACACACTTTGTGGGTTAAAAAATTACTTAATATTATACACTTAACCAGAAGACTAACCAGGATAATGTAAGGGCAACTAAATATTATTTGTTGTTGTTTTATAAATGTTTTTAATTCTAAATGATATATGTGACCAGTGTCTGTAAAAAAAAAAAAGAAAACGAAAAAACAGGAAAAAAAAAATTAAGCAGGTGTCATTACATTACAATAGCTTAAAAACAATTAATAGTAATTTTAAATTAAATGTTATATTTACTATGTGTAAGTTCAGTAATTAATTTAATGAGCATCAAAAGTTACAACTGAAAAATTGATTTTAATGTGGTTTTTAGACGATTTAACTTGTGTCCTGGGTTTTTGTCAACACCGTCGGACCGTTTTTTTAAATAAAAAAAATCAGGAATTACTGAAGGCAGCTAAAACTCTGAGGACTCTTTATCACTTGTTATTTGAAATGCCATGAGAACACTCTAGCTCTGGTAAGTTTTTTTTTTTTTTTTTAAATAAGTTTTAAATTTTATACCTACTTGTTAATACTTTGCACGTCACAACCATAGTGTGGCAACACCATAAACATTGTAATGTAAGATTTGTATGATATTTTCTATTATAAATGCTTAATTTAAGTAAAATATAAAGTTTACAAGCAATGAATGATAAACAAGATGGCTCCTGTGAGGAGCACGTGTTATTAGAGGAAACATGGTATTTTGTCAACTCCGTCAGATGTCAACACCATCAGGATTTGTGTATGACGGTGTTGACAAATGCCATTATGTGCATCACTATTCATTTTAGTGTAGTTTACTTCAATGATATTACTTACCAAACATTTGATATTACTGTTGCACAGTTTTATGTGTTGAATTTCAACCAATTGCCATATAGCTTTATGTTTTGAATTGAATATCAACTAGCCTCTGGAGTACTTGATATGTAATAAGGTGTTTCTTATGATTACCCATCATTTGCAGCTTATGCTTATCCATCAGAAACGTATACTGATTGCATAATGGTATGGGTTTCAGGCTAGCATCGCTAGGGAGAAGCTATCAGTGGAGGAACGAAAGAGAAGGAACACGGAGTATCAAGAAAGAAGGCAAAAACAAAAATTGATAGCCAGCCTGAGCTGAAGAAAGAGAAAAGAGGTATAAGAGAAGGTTTTGGAAACAAGCACAGAGAGAGTCAAGAGAACGCAAGAAGAAAGCACAGGAAGGCCAGCATCTAGACACACTACCAGAGTCCTTTGAACATCAGTTTTGAGGAGCCAAGGAGTAGTAGACAGCTAGTTGCCGGTGAAAGGGAAAGACGCAAAAGTAGAAAAAGACACTGCAGAGAGATTAAAGCACTGAAAGATAAATAAAAAGAGAGGGACGAGCTGAGAAAGAGACTTGAACGTGGAAAAAGTATTCAAAATGAGAAGACACAGGACTCACCTCGAACCAAAACAGAGATGATGGTTCAAGGGAGCCAACTCAGAAATCCTTCAAAACCTTCACATTGCATTTGTCCAGCAAAACCCAAATATCAGACTTAGTTACTCGTCCGTCTGTGCATTGCGTCCATTTCACATTACATCTCCAAGAGCCTCGGACCGAAAGACATGTCCGTGTCTGTACCCTGAGAATGCAACACTGATGCTTGAGGTCCTGAAGTCATTAAATGCTATAACAACGAGCAAACTTGAAAAGAGTTTCCAACTTGTATGTTGTTCTCCAGCAAATGAATCTTGTCTTTTACATACCTGCACCCGATGTCTGAACAAATGTTCAGTTCTTTCTCCAGAGCAGGGGAAAACAAAAGTGGAGTGGAAGCAGTGGAAGCGTACTGAGGAGCGAACAGAAGATGGAGCTCACTTTCACACCAAACTTGTGAAACACACTGGCACTCTTTCAGAGCTTATGATTCTCTACCAAGACAAACATAGAAATGAGGCAACCAACCATGTCCACTCAGTTGAAAATCAAACCAAGGAGTACAGGAACATGATAACAAATTGTGATGAAGGGTTATAACCCTGCAGCCCTCTGGACCCATATGGATCAAATCCTCACAGCCATTCATACAAGATTTCCAAAGATTAACACTGTTCTTTTTTTTTCAGATAGTCCAAGCAAACAGTATAAAAATATGAAGAACTTTCATCTCCTGTGCGCTGTCCCTCCCAAAGTGGGATTCAAGAATGCAACATGGAATTTCTTTCCTACATCACATGGCAAAGTTGCCCCAGATGGCTTTGGGGCAACAGTTAAATGACATTATTTTGCTTTGAGGTCGGGACATTTTGGACGACAGAGCATTTTATGAGATGGTGTCCAGCAGCCTAAGTGGTGTCAATAATAAACAATACGTTACCAAGGATAATTTTCAATTCTTAACAATTGGCCCAGAGCATCAATTTTTTCACCCCCATGGGCCAAATGTTTGTTTTCAACAAAAACAAGGACAGTGGGATGTCTGCTTTGTGCCATTTACAGATATTCTAGTCAAGCTGAATGAGCCATCATCACCCATCCGTACAAGCAGCACCAGGGAGACATACAACATATCAGCAGAGGTCATGGGTTTCATAGAAGAGGAACACTTGAATTGTCTGTTGCCTGGTGTTTAAACTTCATCGACTGCTTTGAGAAGTCAAATGTCATGATGTATTAAGTTTTTTATGACAGTTTAGCAATATTTTAAATATTTAGCTGTTACTTTGACTATGAATGATTTGAATTAGTTTATATACTTTATAAGCAACATATATTTGTAGAGGTTGTGGACTTTACAATGGGGTTATTTTCATTTTCTATTGCCTGTAAGGTCCCTCTCCTCCCATGAGATGATTTTTATTTTTTTTTTTAAAAGATGAGAGGTCTTGTTCCCTAAAGAATATTTGTTAATAAAAAGGTTGCATTTTCAAAGTTTTTATGTGTCTAATGGTGTTGACAAAAATCTGGTGCTGATCCCACAAAACCCTAATTCATAAAAGTATTTAAAACTAGAGGGTTGTTCCAAAACATGGTTACACAGCCAAACCCTTCTTTAACAAATATGTATACATTGGTTTTTAAAATAATTGAGTTTTTTTTTTTTTTGAAAATCAAAACCTATTTTGTCCCTGATCTCAAGAATCACTGATACCCAATTTATATTTCCATATTATTGGCAAAGGAGATTTGCTTCTTTGGTCATTTTTACATCCTGTGGTATTAAAGAAATCTAATGTAGCATGTTCTTTCACAAGTGGTTTTGTAATTTCACTCTTTAAACACATGATATGAAAAACCTGCATTTGGGACAGTCAAAAACACCAACTGACTCTGAAGCTGTGAAAGACTTTGGCTAGTAATCCTTTACTACAGGTAATGAGTGTAAACAACACATGTCTGTTTCACGGACAAACTTTGTTACAGTGTTAACAAATCACAATACAAGTTGTAAGATTTCCTCTACAGCATTTCAAGAAGGTACTATCTGACAAGTAAAAACTTCAAGTGAAAAGATCCAAGTTACAGAGACATGGACACAGTACAGTCCTCATAGCAGCTCCGAACTTTGATTATAAGCTTTGTACTTTATAAGATCAGTAATTCCTTCAGCAATGTTAATGTGGTAACTTCCAGGATAAAGTCTGTTCAGGCAGCTCGCTGCCTCATTATGGTGTCACTGTCAGGATAACGCATGCGGACAGTGGTTACAGTACATATTATATTACTTTTTATCACATACTGTGCATGTAAATTCTAACAGACCCCTCAAATAAATGTATGAACCATAATGTGACCTCTTTAATCTGTTTATTTGAATGTCAAACTTAAAGTGAGCACACCAAAAATATGTGAATAATCCCTCACTGCACAGAGAAAGTGTGTGAACACAACTACTGTGACAACAGCAGGTCGTAGCTGAAGCTGTGATGTCAAGGATGGATGGACCGTTTGTCTTCGTTTTCTTGTCCAAACAAGTTTGCTCGCATTCTCATCTGTCTGTGGGTAAGTTGTTTCAACTTTATAACAAAATAATCCACCCAGAAAATAAAAGTCTAGCTCTGCAGGGTCCACATAGTTATCTACAACCTGCACAAATACTGATTTATGGCATTTTTGCTCACACTACGGTGAAATAATATCCATTATCTCTCAAACTACCATAGTGGTTCTGACAGTATGGAGCAACGATCATCAGGTCATCCCTGGCACAGACAGAAGGCTAACGGCAAGAGCAGAAAGCAGTCAGTAATGTCAACAATAAACCGAAGCTAACTTACCGAGGAGCCTGCCCAGAAGGGACAGGAGTTTCGGATGGGGGGTGAGTTGCTGAGGGACAGTGCTCCAAAGGACAGCGCCACCATGGAGCCTCCGAGCAGCAGCTGCAACAAGCCCAGCGAGAGCAGCGGACGCCCGGGCAGCAGCAGCCGAGAGCCCCCGCCGGCGATCCGTGAAGAAGCGGACAAGCCACGGGCTCTATTTCGGTGACACGGCTCTGCGAGCTGCGCAGCTCCGGTAACCGGGCAGCAAGACCCCGGCAGCACCACTGGGAGCGACATCTGAGGCTTGAAATACTGGACGAAAAACCCAGAATCTCCCGGAACTGGAGTGTATGGAGAGAAGTCGCTCTCACGGATTAAAGGGTGGATCCTCGGCGCGTTCAGTGGAGCTGCTCGTCAGACCTGCCATGATGGTGTCCAGCTTTAAATAACATGCTCTCTGCTGAACGCCAGGGTTTGGATTTGGATCGACTTTCACATATTTTGGCAGCAGGTTAACAGTTGGGACGGGGGAGGGGCAGGCCAGGTCATGTGTAACATGTAAACAGGACACGGTGTCTTCCAGAAATCTCAAATTAAATAGGCCTACATGAGGCCTATAATAGCCTACTACACTTATGCTGTTGCTGTCATTTTTTCCCATGTTCATTCTGTATCAGGCCATGCACAATACAAAAATGGCACAATAACAGGAAAGCAACAGAAGACTTCTTGTGCATTCATGTGGTGTCTGAAATAATCGGAAAAGCCCACTGAAGTCAGAACAACAACTTGGAAAGAAAAGTTTGCTACAGGAGTTGCCAAGTTTATGACGTCAAACACGTAGAAACATGGTTGATGGTTAGAAACGTTTAAATAATGGTGTGAAATTGCATATACATATTTGCTAAGGTGTCATTTGTAACGTGGTGTTAGAGTAACGTTTGGTTTGCTGTCCAGAAGGACTGATGAAGATTAATTAGAAAAGTTAGTTATTAGCAGTATTTGCAGTACATGTCAAATTTTAGTGGTTCCAGGTAATGTACTGATGCAGTAACAACTGTGGTGTCCGAACGATAATGCTGCGATGATGTGTTGAGAAGAAATCCGCTTGACACTGTTCTTGGTTATAAAAGTTTATTACATCAAAGAATTCAGCATCAATTACAAGCTCTGCAGCAGCTTGGAGAGTGACCCAGCCCGATGACCACTCTGTCTCTCTGTACATCGAACACAGCTTATATAGGACATGTTTAGGTCTCTGCTAAAAACCATATAAGGGCACAGTGCTGTAGAATAAGTGTAACCATCTGTCAAACACCACAGTAGGGTACAGTCCCTTCATACACACTAATCTCTTTATACCTAATCTCTTTATACCTAATTTCTACTTCCCCTAACACTGCACCCATCAATCATTACTTCCCCATAAGGGTTCACTGTCCCTCTCACCAGCTGCAGAGCATTATGTTAAACTGTAATGGCCGGATACACGTAATGGCCAGATGCACATATGTTATACACCACATATTCCCCCCTACGAGACTTAATTGAGTCTCGAAAAACAAAAAGAGACAAATTTCTCCAACACACACTTCTTGCATATTATTTTTAACAACATATCAACTTTATGGAGTGTGAGAACGAAAAACCTGTCCGGCAGCCTTCATTTCAAATTCCCTCCAAGACAATCAAGACAGGAAAATTTTCTCACGGCCCCTCTGCCTTAGGCGGCCACGCATGGTACTCCAGTCCAATTAATAAACGACATCTTTATCAGTCAATGCAGAAATACGATTAAGCCAATACATGTGAAAACCTCAGGAAATAAACAAATCAAAACAATGTCCGAATTCAGGCTGGTCAACCCATCGGACCCTCCAACGGACCTTTCCCTGCCTAGACCCTATATCCCTAAGCATCAAGAAAAAGAAAAAAACCTGAGGTCCCCAAATATTAACTCCCTAAGTGACAGTACAAGTCTTTACACAGTTAACACACAAAGAATATAATTGTTAATTAAGTATTATTCATTCGCATATGTATTCATATCTATATCAAAGTAGACATAGGAAGGTATTCCACTGCAGCTCCTCAGCAGTGTCGATGCAATCCAGACGTTTCCACACCGTCCTTGTCCAGAGTCCATCCACACTGTCCTTGTTTGAGTATTTGAATCCCCATCTGTACATCCCCATATACTCTGGAAGAAAAGAAAACACCAACCAGTATCTTGTTGCAAATAACACATGAAAATTAAAACCTCAATGTATGAAAATACAAAGTAACATTAAAATGGATATCTTTCCATCATTACTTCATCTGGTTCCCCTTATCATCTCCATCTGAATCAGCCATAGTTAACAAAGGCATCTGAGTGTTCTCCCCAGGCATCACCACTCCAACCCATCTCAATATCATAGCTTTCGCAAAAGTCAATAGCACCGTACAAAAGCAAAACATCAAACACAGCGCTACAAAGGCTGCTACCAAAATCTGAACCACCACTGCTCCCACTGGTCCTAACTGATTTTGTAGCCAAGTATTTGCTGACCATCCAGCTCCCTCAGATGGACCAAACGCATCCCTTATACTCTTTAATGCATCTATAACACTAGTGATATTATCAGAACTATCTGGGATCAAAGTATAACAACCGTCTCCCGTCAAGTTCATAGCCACACACAAACCTCCTTGTTTGGCTAAAATATAGTCAAGAGCCATGTCATGTTTCAACAATGTCAGTCTGTGACTTCTTTGAGTATTTGACAGAAGATTAAACCCTCGTATAGTTTCATTTGCAAATCCCTGCAAAGTATAAGTAATATTATCAATATGATCTGCCAAAAAAGTTAAACCATACCATGGAAAAAGTCCAAGTCCCCACTTCTCACCTAGACTTATCCTCCAATGGTAGGCTTCAAGATTATGAAATTGTGCCATGCTCCTTTTCACCCTATTTCCGACCCCCGGATCAGAATGAGCTATAGCAGGTGTCTCCCCTTTATGGATTGTAAACACCTCATACGGAAGTTTTAGCGTCGCCATGTAACAACATCCTATCCATAAGATAAGAATATATATGCCTTATCACCACAAACCCACCAAATATCTTGAAAATTCCCTATCGTCACATTGCCAGGCAAAAGCTGATCTCTTACCATCAAAGTCCTTCCCTTCTTACTAGATGGCACAGCAAAAGTTACTTCGTATCTGTTTCCTCTAACCTTACGGTCATGCTTATCCAAAGACATCATATACTCATCACACTCTGATATTCCCATAAACATCCCTGGCCCATCATACGTCTTATTTGAGCAAAAACAGCTACTAGCCCTCACAGGTCTTACCTCCATTGCTTCAGGAATTGCCGTTAACTTATTTTCCTTCTGATCTAACAAATTCACATAGGGTAATTCATTTATCCAAGAACAATTAAGTCTAGGTCTAAACAACTGCGACGACCACGACATCACTATATCTGTTGACGATTGTTGCTGATACGACAGCCATGATAAAGCATAAGATTGGCACATAACGGATAGAGGTTGGGCCACTGTCTCTAAAATTGAATCCCACGTGCCTGGTGCGGGAACTTTCAACAGACATGGACCATCTAATTTCTTAACTGATCTTACAGAATGAGTTAACTGCTGGAACCATAAATTCCTACCTGCCCAGCCATCTGTAATTTTCAAAACAGAAGAATCAAACCCATATGCCTTCCATGTAGCTTCCCTCTTCTGTAACGAGCGATATTGATCAGTCATATCTTCTGGTATTTTATCAAAAGTAAAGAACTCATTTGGTACATGTGGGATAATATTCTGGACGGTTTCAGATGACTCCTCATCATTTTCTTGCATTCTTTGCTCCCCAATCTTCATCTGTAACGCAGGCTTCTGAGTTACGTCTGCCAACTCCTTTACTTCCCGAAAGATTGTAGTCGGTGTCTGTGTCATATTTACAATGGTTGTTATCGCCTCTGTAACATTCATTTCTTCCACAGTTTCTGCTAAAACAATCACATTAGTTAATGTAGTAATGTAACACAGTAGTTAACTCTTTCAGTTGTTTCCAAGGGCCCAATGACAACTGTTCTCTGTGTATTATTCACTCTTGGAGTGACTACTGTAGGATACTGCTCCTGAACTCCTTTGGTGACTGTTGTCACTTCACCAGGCTCTAAATCTTTCATCATAAGCGTCACCTTACGGGTCACATAACCTTGTATCCAATAATTTTGAAACGGAACAAATTTAAAATCTGGCTTTAAATACGTACAACTATATTCCCCTAGGTCTTCCCGGGTAGCATTACGCAAAACAAGTGAACAGTCACCGACAATTTTCCACCGTCTCATATCATTAAGCAGAGAAAACTTTCTTTGACTAGGGGGTACACCCTCCAGTCCTGATAACAACACATCTTTACCGCGACTATTTAACCACTTGGGAGGTACATTACCACCCGTATTCCATTTCTCACATTTACAGGGAAGATATGCCGAACCTCCAAACTTAACCTTAACCACCGTAGACAATGAAGTTGGCGTTGATGAAATCATCTGAGGCGCTACTGTAGTCAAATGTGTTACATTTATACATTTAGAAACTGTTGTTGACTCTCCTAGAGGTGCTTCAATTCTAGTTTTCGTATCGTTTTGGTCTGACTCTTTTCCGAACTGGTCTGGGGCTGTTTTGTCTAAGTGGAACACTGGCTTCTCCTGTAACAGAGATGCAGCCCTTGGTGACCTCTGCGACTTCCCCTTCCACTAAAATAGGCCCTGCTGATTCTGGGACATATTGAAAACCAATGTCCCCAACTCTCCTTTCCTCTCCATCAATTGCAGAGTCATATCTGGCATCATCAAAAGTGTGCACATGATTACCAACATTGTCCACTGAATGTACAATATCCCCTTCTGGGTTTTGGTTCTGGATGTTGTCATGCATCTCTCCTTCTGCCTGTTCTTCCCTATTGTCATCCAGCTCTCTTGAGCCTTCACCATCTTGGCTATCCACCCGCGGCACCTCTTCACTAGGCGCTTTAACACAATGTGATAAATGATACCACGTTGGAGACCCTTTAACTTGGACAGCTGTTCCAGTACTACGAACCACTTCAAATGGTCCCTCACGGCGTTCGTTATACCACTTCCTCCTAAAGACCTTCACGAACACCTTGTCCCCAGGTTGCACTGTGCTCCTTTTTTGCTCATCGAGCTTCTCCTGCACTTCTTCTTTTCTTTGGCTGTCAGAAACATATGTGGACAACTTTTTATGGAAATTGGCCATGTACGTGACATACGCTCTCATTTCGTCTTCCAAAAGAGCCAAACTTGGACCCTTGCCACTTGTTCGTAAACAAGGCGTAGGCATCCGTCTTCCTGTGACCAATTCATGGGGCGTTATACGTAAATCACGCAGCTCACTTGAGCGACACACCATTAACGCCAAAGGGAGCGCCGCTATCCAGTTTAGACCCGTATGTTGGCAAATCTTGACAATACGGTTTTTCAAAACCCCATTCATTTTTTCACACACCCTTGACTTTGTGGGTGATAAACTGCTCCAAGACGTTGTTTGATTCCCAATTTTTGCAAAATCAATTTCACTGTTTTATCCACAAACTCTTTCCCATTATCTGATGATATTCGATCTGGAAGTCCCCACCTGCTTATGACCTCTCTACACAAAAACTTGGCAACCGATTGAGCGTCTTTCCGCTTGTTGGACAGGCCTCCGGCCATCGTGAAAATCTATCCACAACCACTAGCATGTATCTTTTCCCTTCAACTGGTTTTATCATATCGACAAAGTCAACAACTAACTCACGCATAGGACCCCTTGGGGTGGGAATGTAACCAGGAGGAACAGACATACCCCTGCGGACATTATTTTTCAGACAGATTGTACACCTGCCTATGACATAATCAATCTGTTCAAGCAAATATGGTGCCCAAAAACCATACTCCTTTGTGATTTTTCTCCTAACCTCCCCCCTGGCAACATGAGCTAACCCATGTGCTTCCTGAATCATCAAACCTAACAGGTCCAGAGGTGCTACTATCAGTCCCTCGTGATTTCTCCAAAGACCCGTAGAATCCTTAACAGCACCTCGGTCCAGCCACAACTGTTTATCAATCATAGATGCAGCTTCCTGCATCAAAATCACTTCCTTAAGCGTAATTCTGTCTTCCAAGTCCACCCCATGAGTGACCAGAAACCTTGCCCAATTTGTCAGCTCCTGTTACAGCTTTTGCAGCTTCATCAGCAGCTTTGTTCCCTTGTGTCACTCTTGACGCATCTGTTTTATGAGCTGCACACTTAGCTATCGCTATCTCTTTAGGCCTCATCATAGCATGCAACAGTTTTATTATTTGTGCATGATGTTGTATCGGAGAACCATCCGTTCTCTTAAACCCCCGACCTTTCCACACTGCTCCAAACAAATGACATACATTATGTGCATATGCCGAATCAATATATATTGTCACTCGCTGCCCGTCAGCTAACAAACACTCTTCTGTTAGCCCCACAAGTTCTGCCAGCTGTGCAGACGCAGGCTGTGGTATTACTTCAGCTTTTTCAACAACAAATCCCGTTCCTTGAGCTTTTACTACTGCATAGCCAGCACACAATTTATCTCCCACACGATAACAAGACCCATCAGTCCAATACTCCAGGTCTGCCTCACATAGTGGAAGAGCTTGCAAGTCTGATCTAAGCCTTGAGTATTTCTCTGCCTCTTGAACACAATCATGTGGCTCACCATCCTCAATTCTCGGCTGGATTTACCGTATCACACCTTACCAGGGTGACATCCTCCTGCTCTAAGAGCCTATGATAGTCTCTAAGCCTTGGCATAGTCAATGTGTATTTTCCATAGTTCAGGAGATTCCTGAGACTATGATGGGTAAGAATTGTCACTGGGTAACCCCTCGTAACAGATGATGCTTTGTCATACATTAAATAAACTCCAACCATTGCTCTGTAGCACAGTGGTAGCCCTAATTCCACTTCTGAATATGCAGTCGAATAATAGGAGATAGGTTGAGGATTCGACCCTGTACCCGTCGGCTGACAAAGGACTGCACATGCATATTTACCTCCAGTGGAACTAGACACATACAACAAGAAATTCTTAGAGTAATCTGGTAGTGTGAGCGCTGGCGCCTCCTGTAACCTCTGTTTGATTGTTTCAAATGCCACAAGGCCTTCCTGTGTCCAGGACAGATTGCTGTGAAGTTGAGCGTTCCCAGTATCCTTAACCATAGCTCTCAAAGGTCCCGTCAAACTAGAATAATCCTCAACCCATGCTGAAGAATAACCAGCAATACCAAGAAACGTCAACATCTCTCTGACATATCGGTATTCTGCAAAGGCTTATACTCCAGATTCTGTCCTCGGATTATCACTGGCAGCATCTTCTTACTTGTGCTCCCTTTCCTTGGGCGTAATGCATACTTCTTCTCCCATTTTTGAGACCCTTTTTTCCTCAATTTCTCCCTCTGTATTATCAGCTTCTCGAGATGTTCTTCCAATTCTCTTATTTCTTCTGGATAAGTCGACTTCTCCAAGCATGATATGCATCGATCCATGTCTTTTTCTATTTCTTCAGTAGTCATTGGAGGATAAAATCCTCTTGAACATGAAGCACCTTTAATCTCCCACTCTTCATTGCTGTCTCCATCTTCACTTTCATCGGAGATCTGATCTCCTGTATCCTTCTTCCAACTTTCATCACCCCTTCTTTCCGCTCTGGCCAGCCTCCGTCTGATCACAGGATCATATCCACCCATAATCTCTTCTACATCACTCTGTTCATCATCATCTTCCATTCTCCTAAACCTCGCTCTACCCTTAGTTTCCCAAACTTGTCATTTTCTTCTTACTTTTGGAGCTTGGATTCATCTTTACAGTTGTTTCTGCTTGTCCTCTCTCTATGACTCGTTCATCTTCATCTCTGATGCAATAACCACCCTCCTGAATGATCACTGGAAGCTGAGGATAAACATCCTTAAACTCCGCTTCTTCCTCGTAAGGTGGAGGTCTTTTTGCTGAATCCGTATGTGAGAAGGGTTTGTTGACTTCTGCCATTAATTTTTCTGTTATCTTTGCCTCTTTTGCCATTTTTTCTTGCGTCTCTTTCATCAGTTTTTGACCTTCATGTTCGAACAACTTAAGAACACCCAGCTCTCTTCGTCTCTTCTCTTTACGTCGTTCCCCTTTTTTCCCCTTGTTTTGATCCGACTTATATGTGGACACAAGTACTTGCATTATTTTAAGTACACCTGGGTTAAGAGTCCCTTCCACAGGCCATGGTTGTTCAATATTAGGCCAACGCTTATGCCATTTTTCAGATAACTTTACAATACCATCAACTAGAGGATTATTTTTTGCACTACATCAACCGGAGTAGTTACTTTCAACGTTTTAATGTCCTTTTTCCGCATAGTGACAACTTTTTTATATTTCTTTATTGTAAAATTATTTTCCTTATTACTTATTTGTTTATTTTTCTTTTAATTCTACTTAATTGTTGATAGGTGGCAATCTTACCACATCCGCTAACAGAAAATCAAGGGAATTTGTCAACTCCAGAGCAATCACAAAAATCTTGTTAGCCAGCAATCACACGGCGCCAACTCCTACCTAATAAGCACCCTCTCACCTTAGTTTTGTCCCAAAAGCTCAATACCACTCAATTCCCAACACAACTTGACTTCAAACGACCCCTGCACAAAAACTCCCATATGTAATATTCAAATACAGTAACTGATCAGTCCGTTGCCAAGTCTCCCCTTAGATAGTCATAACATGAAATATAGCAGGCATACACAAATAGACTCTCTTTGTTACAAACGTGTCTATAATATCCTGAAAGGAGACAAACTAAATGTGTATCATCCGTAATAATTATAAATGAGTATAGACACATATGCACAGGTGTTTGTAAAGAGTTTGTGGATTGCACAATACTGGCCAGACTGGATCCAGGGCTGCTTTGCTGTGGCGCGCTGGACGGCACCCCCTCTCTCTCCTTCTCTCTCTCTCTCTCCTTCTTGTCTCTCAGATCACAGGAGAACAAAAACCAAAACAAACAACACTTTAGTCCTTTTATGTACTCACAAGGTTATTTCCCCCCAAAAATAAGAGTGTTACCTCTCTGAGTAATCATAATCTATTTTCCCTAACTTTTTAACATATCTACGTTAACATGCAAGCTAAGGAATTTCGGTGTCATTTACACTGGGGATGCTGGGGACACCACTCTTCACTCCTATTTAAAGCTTACTCTATTAACAACCGTTCTTCAATACCAATGAAAATGCCTTTTAAAATGTATTTACACACATAAAAAACCCCCAAATGAAATGCAAGTAAAATATAGAAAAACAAATGCGCACTTCCCAAAAAAGTAACTTAGGCTAAGAAAAACCCCCACTGCTGCTTCTGAAATGACCCAAACCATACAGCAGCATTAATCAATAACTTTACCAAATTTCAAAACACAGTTTTCCCCTTGATCAAGTTCCCTTCTCTATTTCTTCATTCATATATATGTATATTCTCTTCCTTCTTTATTTATTTATTCTATTATTCATATATATGTTTTCTTGAATCCTAGCCTTATCGTCCTCTGCATAGTCTCTCTCTCACACACTAGGCTTCTCCTATTTCTCACACACACAACCGAGACACAGCAGGGCAGCTCTCCACACACACACACACATGGTAGCTATCCAGTCAACAAGAATGCATTCTTCACACGTTTATAAAGCATGCTTCCGCCGCACCTTTTTCCTTTATTATTTTCCTTCCTAAATTTATGCTACCTCGAGTTTGCAGATATTTAATGAGAGGCCACTTCGGACATAGTTCGTCAACACATGTATCGAGAGGTAACTTTCAATTAAAATTTTCTTCTACAAGCTCCCAGTTCCTTTGAACGGACCCGAAAATTCACCTAGTTCCTTTCCAGGATTTGCGGCCCATCTAAGATCGCCTTTCAAGGGCTTTTTGTCCAGATCTGCGGCGTCCTAATCCTTATTTTTTCCTTTTTCCATAACCTTATATTTTCTTCCTTATCCTTATTCATTTGTATTCAAGCCGAATGACCCTGGCCAGGGTTACACTCTCTCTCTTTTTCCCTTACTCCAATTTACCTATTCCTTAAAGCCTAGTTTCACGCGACAGTAATTTCCATCCCACATGACTTACGGTTATAAGAATCTGAGGGCCCATATTCTTAATCTTTGCAAAGTTATGAAACCTCACTTCCCGTTACTCCTAGGCTGTTCCTTTTTCTTCCTTTTATATCTATCTATCTGTCTTCATTACATTCACACACACACCCTTTTTGCGTTATCCACAATGCACACACAATTTAGAACGGAGTCTTCTCACACATCCACCCGCAAGCATTCACACGGGATCGAACCGGTGTACCCTTTAACGAACACACAGACACACGAACTGACCAGCGCCCACAGTTTATGAGAAAACTCACCCTACACGCTAGCTTCTGGAGCGGGAG